CAACCTTAAACCCAATAAAACATCTCCGGCAAACTAAGCACAACCCCAGGCACTTGAGATTGAATGAGCTAAGCAACTTTCCTGCTCTCCTGGACCTTACGTTCTGCTGAGCTGAGGAGGGAGACAGTATCACTTTAGACACAGATCCTAGAGGGTCAGACCCAATGGGCACATTCCCTCTCCGCCTTTTATTTTATGCAAGTGAACCTCATCCAGAAAGGGACCAGGACAAACCTGTTAGTTCACAGTGGGATGGAACCAACTTCTGCCTTTCTCAAAACTGCAGGAAGAGGAAGGCCCGGGGGTTTCAGAAAGGGATGTGGACTGGAATAAAGTGTTGCCTTTGAGAAGTTTGAGAATTTGAATTTTGCAAAGTGGACCACGCATCCACCCTAGGGCTCCTCAGAGCCTGAGGTGGGGGTCAGAAATTGGTCCATTCCAGATGTGTCCACCAGGTGGCGCAGAGGCACCAGGAGAAGGCACAGCAGTTTTCCCTAGCGAGCGCGAAATAGGAGGGTGGGAAGCCTGTGTCCTCTCAGGGACAGCGCTGGGCCACTGTGTACATCACAGACACGTGCAGGGGTGGATTCTGCCACAGCCGAGGAAGTAGTGGTTAAAAACTAGGACACGGGCATCAAGAGACCTAGCTCCCCTTTGCTGCTGGGACCTGCCCGACACCTAGCTCACAAGGTTAGCCTGGGGAACAGAACCGGTGCAAGATAAGGCGGGGAGGGGCGGGGGTGTCTCCACAGAGCCGGGTGCTGGTGCTCACTTCCTAGGCGGATAGTGGACAATTCCAGCCCAACAGAGCAGTTTCCTCCAGACAGCAGGGATCTCTGCCACCGCCCCAGAAAGTGTGACTAATGCAGTCTGACAGCTTGAAGCTCCGTTTAGGACCAGCGGCTCATTCACACTTTTTTTTAAATAGTGGGGGTTGAACCTAGGGCCTTCACACTGACCTACCTCTCCTCGCTGGCCGTTTTTATCTTTAAATTTTTTTTCATTTTGAAATAGGATCTTGCTAACTCGCTAAGTTGCCCAGGCTGGACTTCTTCCCAGAGCACCGGGATTACAAGCATGCCCCATCGTCCCAGGCTCATTCACATTTTTAAAAATCTCACACCACACAGGAAACTCCGAGTCCAAAGGCTCTGAAGCTGGAAAATGTGAATGGTTTGGGTGCTGCTGCGACAACAAAGAGGGTTGGAGAAGAAGTAGGCTGGGCCTTGGGGATTAAACCAAGCTCTCAACTTTGACCTCAGCCTGGAACCCACAGAGAGCCGTGGAAGGTAATTCAGCGAGGGAATGACGCAGCTGGGCCAGGCGCTGTCACTCAGGCTGTGGAATGGAGTGGGACAGGCTGGAGGCGGCACATAGGGGCTGCAGGCTGGATACAGTGGAGGCTGATTCTCCACCCACCAGGGCCTCTCATCGGCTCGGGGCACCCAGGGGTATTTGCTGTGCTGGCCGAGCCCCTGGGGCCAGGGAGGAGGACTGAGTGATCTTAGAAGACCCTAGGTGTGCACTGGCAACCTAGGAAGAGGGAGCTTGGCTAAGTGGCAAACGGAGTCCTGGCTCAAGGTGGTGGGCCGGACCGGGTTAGCCCAGTGGTTAGGCACATACAGCGACGCCAGGTCCCGGTTTGCCACTTCTTGGCTGTGTGACCATGACCAGATCCGTTTGCCAAACTTTGCCTTAGTTTGCTCATCTTTAAAGTGGGATTATGGATGAGGGCCGCCTTTCCTGACTGCCGTGGGGGCTGGACTTGCAGTGTGTGCAAAGCTCAGGGCTGGGTCCCCAGGAAGTCCCCAACAGCACAGCCTGAGACCGCTCTGGCTCTGCAGTTCCTCTTCAGGCCAGAGTGGGCCTGGGCTGGCCCCACACTGGATTAGAGCCCCGAAGTCCAACCAGAAGTGAAGAGACTGCTCGTTCAGCCGAGGGCGGCTTCCTAGAGAAAAGCTACCTTTGTCTGTTCCACTTGTTGAAATATTGAACACTATTCTCCTTAGTCCAGGATTTCCAGGTAAGAATCTCTGTTTTATTTTGTTGGTTTCTTCCTTATCTTGCGGGTGTGGGTGTGCGCTGAAGCTTCCCATAAAACAAGTCCATGTTTTATGTACATTCGTTTGTAAATCCTTATGGTGCCTGTCTCAGGTAGGTCCCATTTATGATTCTCCCCACTATATAGATGAAGAAACTGAGGTCTAAGAGGTTAATAAACATGCCTGGGTCTGTCTGACCCAACACCTCTCCCCTCCACCCCACTACATTTACCTGCCCTGTGGACAGGTCAGCAGAAAGGCAATTTGGGTCCTAGGTCACCCCAGTACCTTGCCCCCAGAATTACCCAGTGAGCAGAGTACAAAGGCCTGTCTGGGTCAAAAGCCAATGACAGAAACATGTGACACATGGCCCAGCAGTTGTCACTTCCATTGCATTAGTTAGGGCTCCTTGTAGAATACATTTCCCTGAGAATTTAGTGCAGGGATAAATTTCTCTCTCCCCAGTCACTGGCCTGATTCTTCTAATCATATCATAGCAATGGTTGATTCTTTTTTCCTGGTGCTGAGGATTGAAGGCAATGCCTTCACACATGCATATGCTTTACTACTAAGCCATACTCCCAGCCCAGTAGTTAATTCTTAGATACAGTTTACCACATGGCAGGCCTGTTATGAGAACTGAATATGCCTTCATGCATTTACTCCTCCCATCTGTGTACCATCTCCATTTTTTCTGATAAAGACACAGAAACACAGAGAAGTTCATAACTGCTTAAACTTGTGTGGTAGTAAGTGGCAGAGATGGATTTCAAAACACCAGAGTCTAGGGCCAGGGTCTGGGTACTTAACGATGTGTTTACTATTTCCTATACATTTTCAAACACATCCTATTTCCTTCATTGCTTTGACTGCCAGGAAACTCAGAGCTGTGATTTTTTTTTTTTTTCCTTCCTCTATCACAGTTGCTATCCTTAAGAAACTTAGCCTAACATCTCTGCCGTATTTTGTTATGTTTTCATCTTTCTCCCTTCCTTCTCCACTGGCCTTCTGCCCGGGCATTCATCAGTCCTTTATTCTTGCTCTTTAATTATGGATCAAATGGTCTTGAGGCTGCAGTGGAAACCACCTCAAAATCCTTTTTTTGGAATAGGCAGGACATAATCCATTAATGAGATGAACAGAGACTTTCAGACATGCTGAGCCAGCTGGTTGCCCGGGGTGCTAGATGGTGTCTTTCCGCATCTTCTGCATGAACAGCATCGCGGCTGTTTGGTGGCGGATGTAACGGCGAACCCAAGTTAGTGGTGCATTGACTGAATTATTTAACCGCCGTAAGAGGTGAACCCTGAATCACAATGCCGAAATACGCCAGAAGTTAGTTCAACATGCAGTCAAGTTGACTGAGGCTCTGCCACATCCAATACATGGCTCCAAGGCCACTCTGGTTCTGGCACCCGAGTGACAGATGGGAGAGAAAAAAGAGAGCGTGCATACTTCGTAACCACTTTGTCCTGGATTCAGCGCACATCCTCTCTGCCTGTGTCCCGCTGGAGAAAATTAGTCACGTACCTAATTGCAAGGAGTGCTGGAAAAATGTCGTCTGGGCTGTTTTTCTCTAAAATAACTGTATATACATGGATGGGGGACATCTTCAGTGAATAGCTGCCCTTGTTCCAGTTCACTAGGAACTTAAAATTATTGAGCCATTCTCCCTTCTTAAATGGCTACGAATACCACAATATCCACAGAAGGGAATGGTCTTGCCTTGTTTGTGAGGAACCAGGGTTTGCCGCGTGTGGTGGTCCACGAGAGTAACCCTCCCACCCAGGAGGCTGAAGCAGGATGATCATAAGTTTGAGTCTCGCCTGAGCAACTTAGCGGGACCCTGTCTCAAAATAAAATAAAATTTAAAAATATAAAATGGTTGGGTGGGCATAGTGGCACATGCGTATAATCCCAGCACTCAGGAGGCTGAGGCAGGAGGATCATTGTGAGTTTAAGACCTTCCTGGGCTACAAAGTGAGCTCAAGGCCAGCCTGAACTGCATAGCGAGACCTTGTCTTGAAAAGACAAAAATAAAATAAAATAAAATGGCTGAGGGTATAGTGCAGAGGTAGAGGCCTTGTCTAGCATGTGTGAGCCTCTGAGTTCAGTCTCCAGTAAACACACATGCACACACATATGTGTGCACACACACCCATATACACACACACAGGAGCATCTACACTTTAAACCAAGTGTATTTATCCACAGGGGTTCATATGCCAGGAAGTATTTATGCAGAGGCTGAGGGTTCTAGGGCTCAGGCAATGCCCCTTACCAGTCCTTCTAAGTTTGAGCTTCTAAGCTGGGTTCTGTAGTCACCCACGAGTACCTGCTTTGTGCCAAGTTCTGGGTGGGCATTTGCAGACCCAGAAACAAATGAGGCAAGACCTTGGCTCTCGCGTTACTCAACTGTAATGAGGAAATAGGATGGTGAATGGCCTGAGCCTTGCAAACAGGAGACTGGAGAAAATCCCCAGCTCTGTAACTTAGTAGCTGTGTGATGTTAGACAAGCCGGTTGGCCTCTCTGGTCCCGGATTTCTTCAGTTATAAAACAGGGACAATATTTATCTTCCTACATCAGGAGGACTCAGACATGAATACATGTAGCTCTGCAGCCCAGGACCTGGTGTGTCTTAAGCACACTCTTTTATTAGTAGTAATATATTTACCATGGCCTCGGGTAAGTTCCTTTATTTTGTAAAGCCTCAGTTTTCGCCTCCAAAGGATGGAGTTAATAAACTTACATCACAGGGTCGGAATCTCATTTCTTGTGGGGTCTGGAGCCTGCCATTTGGTCTCGGCCCCTCGTGGGGTTAGGGGTGGCCTCACACCCCGCTGTAAGCACCCAGAGATTATGCTCGGCCTTCGCACCATTCCCGGCATAGAGGAGGAGCCCGGTTCACAAGGACGCGGTTTCCTGGCTGCGCTCCCGGGGAAGGAGGTTTGCTGGGTCCCATCCCCCGGCCCGTCCTGCTCAGGAAACGCGCAGAGAAAGCCAGGAACCAAGCCTGCCAGGCCCGGGCCCCTCCGCGCCTTCCCTCCTCCCCGTCCTTCGGCTGCAGGAAGCCGGCTGGGGGGAACGCCCTGCCCGGTGGGTGGGAAAGGCGGGGAGCAGGCCCGGGCCCTGGGCTTCCCAGGCCGCCCGGGCGGGCGGGCGACGCGGAGCTGTCACTTCGGCAGCTGCAGCGCCCTCCCCGCCGCACCGGCTCCTTAGCGTTGCGCGGGGAGGCTGCGTGCGTCCCGCGGGCTCCGACTCCGGCTCCTCACACAGAGCCGCAGTGCAGCTAGGGCTGGGGAGGGAGGCGAGGGGCGTCCAGCGCTCTCTTTGGGGAGGAGAGATGCTGAGGACTCAGGGTTTGTAGGTGAGTGGTCCAAGGTCGCGGCTAGCGCGCTGCAGGCTGGGATTCTGCCTGAGGTCTGTTGGATTCTAAAGTGCGTGCCTTGAATCCGTGGTTTCGCTCCAAGTTCTTGGGAGGTTGGGGCGGGGGGGGCGGTTCAGGTACCTGGGGGACCTCCAGAACACGGGGCTGTTCTGTCGGACAGACCTTCCTCTCCTCACCAGTAAGAGCGAGGGCAGAAAAAGACAGGAGGTGCAAGGCAGTGCTTTTTAGCAGAGCGCGATCTTTGGAGTCAAGTATTCCTGGGCTGAAATCCCCTCTTTTCCATTTACCAGCTGTGTGACCTTGAGCAGATTCCTTAACGTCTCTGAGCCTCCAGGAAACCTCCTCTAGGAAGCCTTCCCTTGTCTCCTAGATTCAATTAGGACCCGCTCTGCACCTCTCAATCCCTCACAGCCCATGCTTTGATCCCTAGTGGCATTTAGTGAATCTGTCATTCTGTAATTGTAGGTGGTCCTGTCTCTCCACTTGGCCAGACCCACAGTCCAGGGAGGCAGGGGCCTTCGCTGTAGTGAGGTCTGTGTAGCACTGGCACGTGTGGGGCGTGCAGCCATTCCTTATGGAGTGAAGAAAAGACTGAAGGGTTGGAGGGATGCATGCCAGGCCAGCCGGGTTCCTGCTAGGAAGCTGGTCCTCCGTGCGCTAATAAGAGTGGAATAGGAGTGGAAATAAACACCGGTGGAGAGAGTACCAAGAGACCCACAGATGAAAGCGAGATCCGGTTCCTGAAGAGCAGAGATAATGGCTTTCCTTTCTATTATGTGTGACAACCAAGAAGCACTTACTTTGCACAAAACATCTACGCATGCCCTTATCCTCAGAGGAGGGAAACTGCTGCCCAGGAAAGATCAGCGACTTGCCCGAGGCCAGCTGACGAACAGCCCTTGGGCATTAGCACAGATTTTCACTTTCTCTGAGACTTGGGCTTTGATGTTGCCCAGGTTCTGGTTTGACGCTCACTCAGTGTGTAACTTTGGCCTAGTACTGTACCTCTCTGAGCCTTGTATCACAAATCTTCGTGATAGCGACGGTGACCCCACCCCCTGCAGCCGACATGCCATAGTAGAGTGAGGCACTCAGAACTATTCTTGGTTTATGGTAGAGAACCCAGAAATGTTCGTGGAATGAATGAATGAAATACACGCAGTGGGGGGAACACCGAAATGTGAGGGGACTTAACATCATGCCCTTTGGGGAGCAGGAGGTGAGTGGAGGGTAATTTTTATCTCTGCCCTCTCTTTCTGTGATTCCTCTGAGATTTTGCTCCTGGCCTCTACTGTGTTGGGTTATAATTTATTGTTTGCAAACCAACAAAAGTGAATCCACCCTAGCTAGGTTAGCATTCTTTTTATATGTGCTTTTACTACCTTCTTCCTGATGACAAAGTAATATTGCTGCTTGTAAAAAGAAAAAATTTAAATTGCAGAAAGGTACGGTGGAGGAAAATGAAAGTGCAAATTTAGTCACAGTAGCCACAAGATGCTGACATCTTGTTATTCTTTGGGAGGGGAAGGGCAGCATGGGACAGCAGGGTGGTTAATTTCATGTGTCATTTTGGCTGGGCTGAGGGATGCCCAGATCCCTTCTGGGTGTGTATGTGACGGTGTTTCCAGAGGAGATTAATATTTCAATTGGTAGTAAAGAAGATTGCCAGCTGGTACATGGTGTACCTGGGATTTGAATCTTTTTCTTTTTCTTTTCTTTTTTTTTTTTTCAGGTGAGGTATTAAACCCAGGGTCTAGTACATGTCAAGTACATGCTCTACCACTGAGCTACACCCCAGCCCCTGGAATTTTGAATCTTGATTTATCCTATGCCAAAGCTTTTGCTATGAATGAGTGAATGAATGAAAGGTTGATAAGGCCAGGAGTCCTGGGGAGAAGGTTCTGTTGTCAGACCCTGTCTCTTGGATCCCCCAAAGATTGAGATGGGGCCTGTGGAACTTTCTACTGCAGTGTGCCTAGTTGGCATAGATGCCCTCTGCTGATATACCTGCCTTGTGTCTGTATTTTTACCTCCTGTCCTTCCTCTTAACATTTAGTAAAGTCTGTTTTTTTTTTTCCTTTCTGTTACCAGGGATTGAACCCAGGGCCTTGTTGCATGTTAGGCAAACACTCTACCACTAAGCTACACCCCTAGCCCTTTTTATTTTTATTTTTATTTTGAAAAAGTATTTTATGTTTTGGTAGTGCTAGAGATCAAACCCAGGGCCTCCTACATATTAGGTAGATACTCTATCCCAACCCTTTATGACTTTATTTTATGGTACTAGGGATTAAACTCAGGGCCTTTGCACCGAGCTACATTCCCAGTTCTTTTTTTATTTTTTATTTTGGGACAGAGTCTTGCTAAGTCACTAAATTGTCCAGGCTGGGCTGAATTTGTGATCCTGCCTCAGCCTCCCAGAGTGCTGGGATTATAGGCATGTACCACCACACCTAGCTCCTAGTAAAACTGTTTTTTTTTTTTTTTTTTGAGACAGGGTTTCCCTATGCAGTTCAGGCTGGCCTTGAATTCACAGTGATCCTCCTGCCTCAGCCTCCCAAGTGCTGTGATTACAGGTGTGCACCACCACGTACAGCTGTAAAATCCTTTTTGAAAGTTCATACTGTATGCACATAGAGAAAAGCAAAGCAAAGGGAAAGAGAAAAGGTAAAAGTCTCCATTTAGTTCTTTATCTTCTCTTATTTTTTATGCATCAATTAACCATATATTATAAGTTACAACTATGGGACCCTAATAATCTGTGATTCTGCAATTTATTCTTCCTCTTTCCACTTAACAAGGCCCCGGAGATACTTTTCCTTGCTTATTCATGCAAATCTACCCTGTTCTTTTTACTGAGAGAGAGTCTAGAGGCCCAGCCTCTTACACTTCCAGCTCAGAGGCCAGCACATGGGAGACATGCGTACTTACTTTGAGGGCCTGTGAAAACTGTAACAGTAACCACCATTTCCTGGCCTGAACTGGGTGTGAGGCTCTGAACTAAGCTCTTCCACGTGTTATTTCATTCCATGTTGAATCTCGGTAGCCATCATGTGAGATAAGTACTATTATTAGTCCCATTTGGCAGATGAGAAACTGAGGTGCAGAGACTTTGAAAGCTCAAGGTTATACAACTGGTCCAGCAGTGGAGCTAGCATTTGACTCCTCCTCTGTCCTGACTGAAAGTTTTTGCTGTGAGTGGATGTATAAGTGACTGATGAAGTCATACGTCCAGAGAAAGTTCCGCCCGCTGATCCCTCTCCGTGTGCTGGATTCTGCCTTCCTAGGGCTTGCAGTTCTTGGCATCGGTGTCAGCAGACAGAAGGGGCTCAGGAAAGGGCCTTTCTGTGCCTGCAGCAATCCTGTGGCCATGCTTACTCTTCATGGGAAGTAGCATTTTTGAATCTCCTATTCTAAAAATAAGCCACAATTTGTTAGGGGCCCTTGAGGACTAGCCCAGGCATTTCAGGACAGCTATTTGCCTGTCCGCAGCACAGGAAATTAATCAGAACTGCAAAGCCCTTCCCCTCTTCCCACAGGCCAGCTCTGGAAACGCCCAGTGTTTTGCTGCAGCTCTCCTGGAGGACTGTGGAGATGCCAAGGGCAGTTTCACTCAGATCCATCTCTCCATAAAGAACGTGAGAAGAGAAACGCATGAGGCAGAACCGGGTCAGCTGTGCCGCAAACAGCTTACAGGGAGAACTCGCAGCTGTCCCCAACCTGGAGGGGTGCCGCTTGTCAGAGATGTTCTGGGGCCTCAGATGTGACTGCAGAATCCACCTGGGATATGCTGGCTCCTGTTCCAATGGCAGTGCTTTGCAAGGCCACTATCAGCAAGCTCCTCCTATCCCAGACCTTTGAAAATCCTCCATCATGAAATGATTGGGTAGATTATCACAGGGGTGTGTGTGGTATCAGGACAGGAAATATTGACGATAGTAAATACTGAGATTTTCTTTTTTTTTTTTGTCTTTTTGAGACAGGGTCTCTCTATGCAGTTCTCTTGTGCCTCAACCTCCCGAGTGCTGGGATTACAGGTGTGTGCCACCGTGCCCGGCAGTAAATATTGAAAATAGGAATAGCCACCGTATCATTTGTGGAATACTGTACTTTTCACACAGTAGCACATGTAATTTTAAAACACACACTACAAAGACTGTACTATCAGCCCCATTTTACAGACAGGAGACTGAGGTTCAGAGAGCTCCTGGAGTCAGAAGAAGGGTATATGACCCCAGAGTTTTCTGACATCAGTACTTGAGCTCTACAAACATGTGTGGCTTCTCATCGCCAGAAAGAGCTAAGAAACAAACTGAACAAATCCATTTGATAGAAGTTGTAATGTGTCCATGCCCACAGGAGGGTTCAGCTCAACGTCCCTGGGTATTCAGAGCAAGGAGGAGTGGCTTCTGGCCAGGGGCGGCTAGGAGGGCTTGTGTGATGAGATGACAACAGGAAAGAGCATGAGCAAAGGGCAGATGTGGGAAAGCAGTGGGTGTGCTACGGGGAGTTTGTGTAAATGAGAGAGAGAGAGAGAGAGAGAGAGAATGAGAGTGTGAAAAGGTATGTATGTGTGTATGTGATCATGTCAGGCCAGGGCTTTGGCCTTTATTCCACTGGCAATAAAGAGCTTACACAAGAGATGTCTCAAGAGACTAACCGTGCTGCTGCAGTCAAAGAGGAAGCAGCCCTCTGTGCATCTGTGTCCCAGCTTGTGGGTGCTGCTGGGTGCCAGCATGTGGGAGGATCTGTGAGGAACAGTGTCTCTGGTTGTGGCCTGTATTCAGGTGGATGTCTGCAACATCCCTTCTCTGGACCCTAAGTAGTTTGGACATAGCAGAGCCGCAGGGGAGTGTGTCTGGAGTCACGGGAAGGACTCCTGAGATCATCTGGTGGTTATTGCCTCTTCCCATGTTATAGAAGGTGCAAATGGAGAACACAGACGGGAAAAGACTTTTCTAGGATGAATGAGTAGCAGAGCCTGGGAACTGGAATGCATGCTTTTTTATTTTTGTTTTTTTGAGGGTCCTGCTATGTCACTCAGACTGACCTCAAACTTGGGATTCTTCTGCCTCAGTTGTCCCAGTGTTGGGGTTACGGGCAGGCGCCACCACCTCCAGCTTGGAGGCCACGCCTTCTCAGTCCAAGTTGACATTTGCTGAATAACAGAAGTACTGTAGTATTTTTTTGCTTGATTACTCTGTACCAGGCCTTGGGCTAAACACTTTCCATGGATTATCTCATTTAATCCTCACAAACCCTCTGAGAGTGTCCCTCTTGAAAGTAGGGCGTTCTATCTTCCATGTCCAGTTCCCTGGGAGTCTACTACAGACCCTGGTCCTTGAACTTGGCAGAGTTCAAATACAGTACAGGGCTGGGGGACAGGGGGAGAGGACGTAGGGGGCGGGACCAGACGAAAAGCCCCGCCCACACTTCAAACCACGCCTCTTGGGCGTCGACGTCACTTGTGGCCCCGCCCCTCATTGTCAGTCCCGGGGAGCCGGAGGAGGCGCCGGCCGCTGGGAGCCGAGCGCCTGAGCCCTCGGCTGGCGGGAGCGCGGGCCAGAGCCGCCGAGGTGCGGGGTCTG